GTGTCGCTAAAAGAAAACCCGACAATTTAAATATGACTTATATTTAAATTGTCGGGTTTTCTTTTAGCGACACTCATAATTAATAGTAATTAATTAAAATTCTTAAAAACCTATTATACTCGAAAATAAGATACCTTTGATTTTTTAAGCTCAAAATTGCCAAAAAAAGGTAGCTTATTTTGGGGGAAATACGGTATCTTACACTATCTTCTTTCCTAGTGTATTCTCCCTAAATTTTACTAGCAAAGCTATTAAAAAATATATGCGGTGTTGAACACCTCTGGTGGGATTTAGTGTCATTTTATATTTATAATGTGATTATCAGTTGGTAATTTTAGTTCAACAACTTCTTTGTTGCATATTGTACGTATGGAAAACCCACTCCTTGTAAAGACGATAAGTCTATACAGAGCCCAGTAACTATGTATTATCTAAATATTTATATACATTGCATAAAGCGATTGTAATTTAAATTATTGACTTCAATAAAGTATTTAAGTACACACACTTTATTGGTGCTAAAAAATTTACAAATATTTGATTTCAACCTTCTACTTATTTATATTTCTTCTTTATAAGGAGTAATTATATTTTTTAGATTTGATTAAGAACTTACTCAAATAATAGTCAATGAATAATAAAAGAGTAATTATTATTGGTGGAGGTTGGTATGGTTGTCATCTTTCCTTGGTGCTTCGTCAAATGGGATTTGAGGTTACAATTTTAGAAAAGAATGCCAAAATTTTTGACGAAATTTCAGGTAGTTTTGGTATGCGAAATCATGTAGGATTACATTATCCCCGTTCGGAATCCACTCAAAAGGCTTGCTTAGAAGGGTTGATTTATTTACATGAGACTTATCCTGATTTAATAATATCTCATGAATATGCTATCTACGGAGTTGGCACTTATGACTCACATGGCAAGCCTTCAAAAGTCTCTCCGAAAGAATTTAAACAAGTTTTTGAAAAATTAAAATGTTGGCTAAAAAATAATGGACATGAGGAGTTTCTAGAAAAGTGGAAAGAAATTGATCCTCAAGAATATGGTTATGAAAATTTACTTTACGCTGTTGATGTCTATGAACCCAGTATGGCAGTGGGTGAATTATTAAGAGAAAGATTTCATACTTGGTTAACAGAAGCCGGTGTAAATATTCTTTGTAATAATAAAGTTATTAAAGTAGAAAAATGCGATCAAAACATTAAAGTTACCATCTCCAATAGTGAAATTCAAATCGCTGATCATGTAATTAATGCTACTGGTTTTCAGTCTTTACAACCAAGGGATCCTCTCCCTGCCGACAT